TACTCTTCCTCTAAATCCTCCTTCAATACTGCCCTCTGGAATGCACGCTCATTTTGCAATATTACAAAATCCACTGCAGTCCACAACCTTTTCATCTCTTGTTCCCTAAACTTACTAGCCTTAACAAAAACATGGCTCTCCCCCTCTGACACTGCTACCCCTGCATCTTTATCTTTTGGTGGCCTTCAACTTACCCACAACTCAAGACACTCTGAATGTAAAGGTGATGGTGTAAAGTCTCTACTCTCGCCTCACTGCTCTTTCAAACCTCTACTCAGCCCCCTTCTTTCTCTTTCTCATCATTTGAAATCCATTTGATTCACCATTTGATTCTGCTAACATTGCTGTTATCGCCCCCTGGTTCCCCTCTCCTCTTCCTTGACCACTTTGCTGCCTGGCTATCCTACATCTCCTCTAACATACCATACCTAATTCTCAGGGGTTCAATATTCCCATTAACCCACCCCTGACCTCAGCAGCCTCTAAACTACTTTCAATTACTTCCTCTGTTGGGCTATCGCAGAGGGCTAATTCTCCCACCCATGTAGCTGGCAATACCCTCAACCTAATTTTCTCTTATGCATGTACAGTTTCTAATATCTCCAACACTACATTTCCCCTCTCTGACCACCACCTCTTATCATTTGCTCTCGAATACCCCCTCACCCAACAACTTTAGCCTAACCCCCCTCAACTCAAGAGGAACCTTAATTCTATTGAACTCCAGCAGCTGTCAGCTGATATTGATTCACAACTCCTATCCATCCCTTCCCTCTCCTGTCCCTCACTGGCCATCTTCACATATAACACTACCCTTACCTCTGCCTTAAACACTGCAGCCCCGCTCCAAACATGCACCTTGAGGAGGACACACCGCCAACCATGGCATCAACACGCTACCTGCAAAGATGCTCCTGTTGTGCTGAACGCTCCTGGAGGAAGTCTCGCACCCAGGCAGACTATCTCCATTATAGATTCATATTATGTTCATACAGCACAGCCCTTGCCCTCACCAAACAGTCATACCTTTCCTCTTTCATTAGTTCATGCTCACGCAATCCTAGGCGTCTCTTTGACACCTTTAACTCTCTTCTTTGCCCTGCTTTGGCCACCCCTCAAACTAACCTTACAGCCGATAGCTTTGCTTGTTACTTTACTGACAAGATTGAACAGCTAAGGAAAGAATTATCCCCACCCTGCCTTTCTCTTTCTCAACCACACATAGATCATGCCTTTCCTACCCTTCAGACTTTCTTCCCGGCTACTGAACGAGAGGTGGCAACACTTCTCCTTTCCTCTCGCCCCACCACTTGTCTGCTTGATCCTGTCCCATCTCACCTTATCAGATCTCTCTCCCCTTCTCCTGTGCCTTCCTTAACACACATCTTCAACTGCTCTCTCTCTTCTGACATTGTCCCTTCTGACCTTAAACATGCCACTCTAGTACCTATACTGAAAAAAAATCTCTCGACCTGTCCTCCCCCTCTAACTATTGTCCCATTTTCCCTTCTCCCTTTTTTCTGAAAGCTTCTGGAAAGACTTGTTTTTATCCATCTGACTTGTTTCCTCAATTCCAAATCTCTCATTGACCCTCTTCAATCTGGCTTCCGCCCCCTCCACTCTACTGAGGCTTCTCTTATCAAAGTTACTAAAGACTTAATCGCAGCTAAATCCAAAGGCAACTACTCCACACTAATTCTTCTTGACCTCTTTGCTGCTTTTGACATTGTTGATCATGCTCTCTATGCTCTCCTGCTTCCAAATTCTTCAATCACTCGGTCTCTGTGACTCTGTCCTCTCGTGATTTTCCTCTTATCTCTCCCAACGCTCATTCAGTGTCTCCTTTTGTAATGATACCTTCTCCCTTCGTCCTGTCTCGGTTGGAGTCCCCCAAGGCTCTGTCCTTGGACCCCTTCTATTTTCTCTTTATACTGCCTCTCTTGGCAAACTAGGCATTACTTCATTTGGATTCCACGACCACCTCTCCCCTGCCGCGGTGCAACGTGTCACTGCTTGCCTTTCTTCCATCTCTGACTGGATGTCCTCCCGCTTTCTGAAACTAAATCTCTCTAAAACTGAGCTCCTTGTCTTTCCTTCTCCTAATACTGATCCTCTTCTTTCATTCTCCCTTCAAGTTAGTGGTATCTACATCAGTCCATCCTTGCAAGCGCGCCGTCTTGGTGTCATACTTGATTCTGGCCTCACCTTTGAGCCTCACATCCTGCATGTTACCAAGTCTTGTAGATTCCATCTTAAAAACATAGCCCGCATCCACCCATTTCTAATGCAAGATGCTACTAAGGAGCCTGTCCATGCTCTAGTAATTTCCCACATGGATTGTTGTAACCTTCTCCTAATGGATTTCCCAAAAAACGTATTGCCCCGCTACAGTCTGTAATGAATGCTGCCGCCAGACTGATTTTGCTCTCTAGTCGGTCCTCTTACACCTCACCTCTCTGTCAGTCCTTACATAGGCTTCCTGTATTCTATAGTAGTCAATTCAAAGTGATAACCCATACCTATAAAGCATTGACCAATTCTAGCTCCTCTTATATCTCTTCACAGATCCATAGGTATGCCCCTTCTCGGTCTCTCCTCTCTGCCCGTGACCTTCTCCTGTCCGCTGCTCGCACGTGTACAGCCAACTCACGCTTGCAGGACTTCTCGCGGGTGGCTCCCTTCCTATGGAATAGCCTGCCTACCACAATCACACTCTCCCCTAGTCTCCAATGGTTTAAGAAGTGCCTTAAAACCACATTACAACAATTTGGTATGATAGGTAGCTTCAGAGACAGTATCATGACCCTATATACAAATCCATCAGCAAAGATTATTGGCCCGGCTATGGAATCAGAATACTTTTATATTAAAAATGGAACACAGCAGGGTTGCCCACTGGCTCCCATGCTTAACATTCTGGCTTTGGAACATTTAGCGGCTCTAATCAGACAAAAAGAAGAAGTCCAGGGCATCCTGGTCGGCCAAACGGAGCATAATATCATCCTATTTGCTGATGATGTCCTTCTGACTCTGACAAACCCCCTTGAGTCCATACCTGCAGCGCTGAAATTAATGACGGAATATGGTGAATTTTTCAACTTCCAAGTTCCAGTGAGGATTACTGCAAAAGAATGCACGGTGGGGATTATACTACTTACTCCTTCACATAGAACACTTAGTACGCCCAATTACCGTATATACTGGAGTATAAGACGAGTTTTTCAGCACATTTTTTGTGCTGAAAAAACCCCACTCATCTTATACTCGAGTCAGTGTCTGTATTATGGCAACTTGCATTGCCATAACACAGACCAGGACCGCCGGGCTCATTACAAGCCCGCCGATCCTGTTGGGGGCTGGCAACGAGCTGTTACTTACCTTTCCTGCAGCTCCTGTCAGCTCCCTTCTCCTCCGTGCTGTTCAGCTCCACTGTAAGTCTCGCGAGAACCGCGGCGTCAGAGCCTGGCAACGCTCCGCGCGGCACTCAGATCGCGAGGCTAACAGTGGAGCTGACCGGAACGCAGGAGAAGGGAGCTGAAAGGAGCTGCAGGAAAGGTAAGTAACAGCTTGCTCCCAGCACCCCTCCTGCACAGCCCATCCACTGGACCACCAGGGAATAATATAGCCCCCCTCCCTGGCCATGTATCAAGCAGGGAGGGGGGATGAAAAAATAAAATAAACATTTAAATAATAATAAAATAAAATAAACATTTTAATAATATTAAAATAAAATAAAAATGTAATAATATTAAAAATAAAATTTAATATTAAAATAATAATAATAAAAACAAATAATAAAAATGCCCACCCCCCACCAAGGTTACACACTCTGCATCACATACACAAACAGACTCTGCATCACATACACACACTCTGCATTCATACACACACACTGCATTCATACACACACATACTGCATTATATACACACACACACACACACACACACACACACTCTGCATTATATACACACACACTGCATTCACACACACACACACACACTGCATTATACACACACACTGCATTCACACACACACACACTGCATTATATACACACACACACTGCATTATATACACACACACACTGCATTCATACACACACACACACTGCATTATATACACACACACTGCATTCATTAATTATATACACACACTGTAAATAAATATTCAATTAATATAATTTTTTTGGGGATATAATTTTATTTAGAAATTTACCAGTAGCTGCTGCATTTCCCACCCTAGTCTTATACTCGAGTCAATACGTTTTCCCAGTTTTTTGGGGTAATATTAGGGGCCTCGACTTATATCCGGGTCGGCTTATACTCGAGTATATACGGTAAATATGAGTACCTATTCATTATTCTATACTCCTGGTACCTTTTATACTGTGAGCACTATTGTTGTCTCTTTCAATTGTAAGTAGGGCCATAGACGTTTTATTTACTTTATGTTTTTCTGGGATTTTCTGCACCATTAGTTCTCTCTTTCTTTCTTTTTTTTTTGTTTCTGTTTATTGTTTTTAATATTTTTGGATAGCGTTACAAAGACATTGTTCAGTTACAGACATACACTGTTTAAATGCTGAAACGTGCAAATTGTAATTATCCAGTTGAGATCATCTGTCTGGTTACAAATCCAAAATCCTGACTCGATATAACATAGGGTAAACAGGCTTAAAGTATTTAAACATATTGGTATAGATAAACCGCGAAAGTTGCTTTTGTGTTATCTGAGAAAACTTTCTCTCTTAAACTTACGAGTTGTTTTTTTTTTTGTATATATTTATTGTCAGGCTCTTAAGGTTTACTTTACAAAGTATATAAGGGACAGTGATAAAGTATATGTTGTAGGGTATATAGGGTACATGTGATATGTACCGGCATTAACATTATGTTCCTGTTTGGTTTGTACATTACGAATGCCGTGGTCAGCAGTTTCGTGTCAGCAAATGATTTTAACTGTGTAATTAATGCTAGCCCTACCTCCCCCCCCCTCCTCCCCAGACGTAGCACGCTGGCCACAGACCTGGCTGAGAAGTTGGGACCTACTAGTCCCCTAGTAGGTCCCAACTTCTCAGCCAGGTCTGTGGCCAGCGTGCTACGTCTGGGGAGGAGGGGGGGGGAGGTAGGGCTGGCGTTAATTACCGCTGAGTATGCACTAGGGGGGCCCTGAACCGTCCGGGTTCTCATAAGGTTGTGGTTTTGCCTATGTAGTTTGACCAAGGTTCCCATGTGGAAACATAATGGGCGTACTTATCGTTTAGTGAGGCTGTCAGTTCCTCCATAATCCGTATCGATTCTACCTTCTGGAACCAATCCCTCATTGATGGGGCCTTAGTGGCCTTCCATTGTATCGGTATGAGGGGATTGGCCACTGTGAGCATGTGGGTCATTAAGATCCTCTGTGGTTTGGCAATGGGGTCTGAGTATAATAAGAAGAGCATTGTCTCCGGTTTGAGTGGTATGTTCCACCCTGTGATATTGTTGATTATTTCCCGTACTCTCTTCCAGTAGGGTTGTATGGTTGGACAGTACCACCAGATGTGAGCTGTTGTCCCTCCAACAAATATCTAGTGTGTGTGGGAATATATGTTGGAGTTTGGTGGGCGAGTAGTGCCACCTTGATATTCTCTTATACGTGCTTTCTTGAATAGCGGTGCTAACGGAGGATCTCTGGATGCCCTGGAAAATGGTGCCCCATTCCCCCTGTGTTATGTTGATAGAGAGTTCCCTATTCCATGTTTGGGTAAACTGTGGCAGGTGCCCTTTCTGCTCTCCTTGGAGCAACTTATAGAATATCGATAGATGTTTGGTTTTGAGAGATTGGTAGTTCTCTCTTTCTGTTGCATATATAGCTGCCAAAAATACTCTGATCTGACCGAATTCCAGAGGAACTACCCCTGATTCTTTGAGGTTTTATCTTCCAGCAATTTGGATTCACACTTGGACTTATATTTCAACTTTCTTTTGCTTTTATTTGTTTGTCCTCTTATATATATAAGCCTTTTTATATATATATGTTATAACACATCTCTGTTTTTATAATTTCTGGTGCAACCTTTATCCCCCCTGTTTGACTCATCTCTGTTGTTTATAAGGCTTAGAGGGAACCTTATGTTTTAAGGTGTCGCCTACTTTCATTTTTGTATTTTTATATATATCTTTTAGTTAGGTATATTATAACTGACCATTTTTTATCCTTTTGTATATAGAATGTAAGCTCGTTTGAGCAGGGTCCTCTTCAACCTATCATTCCTGTAAGTTTTATTGTAATTGTCCTATTTATAGTTAAATCCCCCCTCTTATAATGGGCAGTCTAGAAGCGATTAAAATGACCCTCCTACCTAAACTCCAATACCCAGGGCCGGACTGGGGATTCCAAAGCAGCCCTGGAAAAAAAATCTATGCCAGCCACATGAGTCATTGCGCCATATATTGTCGCATGTAATATGTAAGGCTATGTCTTGCCACCCTAGATGATTGATATATATACATATATATATGTATATATATATGTATATATATCAATCTTTTTCCAATATAAAATATTGGTCCTTTCAGAGTAAAATTTTTAATTATACAGTAAGCATACTCACATGCAGACACAGACAATCTCACTGACACAAGCTGATTGATACACAGCCTCATAGACAAACAATCTCACTGATATACATAAGGTCATTAAAATAAAAACACAAGCTCACTCAGTAGCAGGCACACACACACACACACACACACCCACACACAAGCAAGCCCACTCACTAGCAGGCGCGCACACACACACAGCTTAATGTAGTGGCTCTGGTGTCTATAGCCTGTCCCTGCAGGCTTTTCAATATAAACACTGACTTTTTAGAGAAAAGGCAGTGTTTACATTGCTTCCTAGTGACAGACACTCAGACGGTCACTAGAGGTGCTTCCTGTGTCAGTGCGGTTGGCTGAGATCATCAAGCTTGATGATCTCAGCCGTAGAGGCAGGGCCAGTCGAGGGGAGACCAGCCCGACGTGGGGAAAAAAAAAAGGTGAGTAAAAACACACATACACACACACATACCATGACAGACACACACTGTGACACAGACAGAAACACAGACACACCATGACAGACAGACACACCATGACAGAGACAGACACATACCATGACAGACACACCTTAAAAAAGACACACACACCTTGACACACACACCATAACACGGACTGTGACACAGACACACACACGACACAGACAGACACACCATGACACACACCACGACACAGAGAGATCGTGACACACACACACCGTGACACAGACAGACACACATTACATGACACAGACAGACACACACCATGACAAACACACACACCCTGACAAACACACACACACACACACACACACCATGACACAGACAGACCGTGACACAGACAGACGCACACACCATGACAGTCAGAGACACACACACCATGACACAGACACACATTGCATGACACAGACTGACACACACACACCATGACACAGACTCACACACCATGACAGACAGAGACACACAGACACACACCATGACACAGACGCACACACCATGACAGACATAGACACACAGACACACACAATGACACAGACAGACACCATGACACAGACAGACACACACACACACCATGACACAGACACACACACCATGACACAGACACATAAACTCACACTGACACACACAATGTCTACCTGGGGCTGTGGGGAGCTCTGATGGTGGCCGCATGGGGGAGCTGGCTGTTCTGGCGGCCGCTGAGGGAGCTCCCTTGGCGGCCGCAAGGGGAGCTGGCTGTTCTGTCTCTGCTCCCCCTCCCCAGCGCACTGCTTACTGAGACCGGGGCCGGAATATGACATCATATTCCGGCCCCGGTCTTTTCTAGCGTTCTGGGGAGGGGGAGCAGAGACAGAACAGCCAGCTCCCCCTGCGGCCGCTAAGGGAGCTCCCTCTGCGGCCGCAGGTGAGCCAGCTGCCTGCCCGGCCCCAGATGCCAACGGCCCACCGGGAAATTTCCCGGTATCCCAGTGGGCCAATCTGGCCCTGCCAATACCTATTACGGACCCTACAAATACCACTCCCTAAATCCTATCTTGACACTCTACAGAAGATTTTCACCCAATTTATCTGGAGACACCGCAAAATTAGAGTAGTGTCGTCAACCCTATACAACGCATAGAGAGGGGAGGACTGGGTATGCCAAAAATATGCCTCTATTATAAAGCAGCGCTACTCGCTACAGTGATAGCTTCACATGCGACAGAAAACCGACCACAATGGGTAGATATTGAGTCCCACTGGACCGCCAAAACCCCACTGAAGTATCTATTCTGGGTGCTGCGGCCGCAGAGATGTGGGCTACCGGAGAGGCTGCCCCCCCCACCACAGATCTCTTACTCAAAACATGGGACACCCATGGGGAAACATTATGCTCCTGAAGGCAATGGTCTCCGGCTGCTCCTCTGCACAGCATGCATTTAGCCAACCTCTCCTTTGATCATCGCCAGTGGGTTGCAGGGGGGATGTACACACGTGAGACACCTGTATGCAAACAACAAACTAGCCCAATTCCCAGACCTACAGAGCAGATTTAACCTACCCTCCAGGCTGGTATTCTCCTACCTACAGGTGAAATCCATGTTGGCGGACATTAAAAAGGACGCCTCAGCACCACTGCTGCCGCAATTTGAGCAAACCTGCCTATGCTCCCACACGCCTCGAAAAATACTCGCAGTGACCTACAACTTACAAAACAACCAGGGGAGAAGCCCGATAGACACACATATGCAAGCATGGCAGACAGACATAGGCCGCACATTTGACTAGACCACCTGGAAACAGGCATACACAGCACATAGAGCTCATGCGAAAACTGCAATACCGCTGGTACAGGGTGCCAACTAGGCTAGCGCGGATATACCCGGGAACCACAGATCAATGCTGGAGGTGCCAATGAGACAGGGGGTACATATGGTGGTCATGCACTAAACTCACACCATACTGGATGATGGTGGGCAGGGTAGTCTCGGAGGTACTGCAACAACACATACCTCTCACACCGGAATTTTGCCTACTTTTCATGACATTAAACTCATATAACAAATTGGACTCCATACTGCTCTTCCACATACTGATCGCAGCCAACACACTTTTCGTTAGGGCATGGAAATCAACAGAGGCGCCTCTGCAGCACCTCTTGATCCAACAGATTTCGACAAACCTAGACTATGAAACTATGACCATATTTCAACCAAAGGCATGGTCGTCCTACACAGATGCTAGAACACAGTGGGACACACATGTCTCTTCAAAGAGGGATGGATGTGACGCTACCTTGCCTACATAATCACCAGATACAGAGAACCGAGGAGGAACCATAGAGGGAGGTGAAATCACAGTATACATTGACTCACGCACATACCTGCAATCCGGCAACAACACAAGAGACCTCAGGCTCACAATATCAGACACTTGTGCACATAAGGAGATATGATGTAACCCACAATGTATATAGTTAATATGTTCATTTGTTTAGAGCAAAAAAATGGGTCGAAAAAGAATGCTGAGAACGAGCAGCAGCTGAAATAGCCTGCCCTTCGGTGGGTCCCCGCTCAGTTCTCAAGCTCGTTTTTGCTCATTTTGTGCCATTACAGAGAGAACATCTCTGAAACATATCAGACTGGTCCCACCCATACGGGCAGTCCAGATACGAAATGCCAGCAAGTTCCCTCTGTACGAGAGATACAGATATTTGTTTCAGAGATGTTCCCTCTGTAATAGCACAAGATGAGCTAAAACCAGCTTGAGAACTGAGCGGGGACCCACCGAAGGGCAGGCTATTTCAGCTGCTGCCTGTTCTCAGTATTCTCTTGCGCCCCGTTTTTTTGCTCTCCAAAAGTTTAAAGGGTAATCCAGACATGGACCCCTTGCTCACGGTGCCTAGAGAGATATCAGCTATGCCTCATTGATGATGCCTAACATGGTTGAAACAATCGTCTGGGGTTGCTGCGTCTCTCGTGCAGAGGGAACTTGCTGGCATTTTGGATCTGGACTGCCAGTATGGGTGGGACGAGTCTGATATGTTTCAGAGATGTTCCCTCTGTAATGGCACAAGATGAGCTAAAACCAGCTTGAGAACTGAGCGGGGACCCACCGAAAGGCAGGCTATTTCAGCTGCTGCCTGTTCTCAGTATTCTCTTGCGTCCCGTTTTTTTGCTCGCCATAAGTTTAAAGTGTAATCCAGACATGGACCCCTTGCTCACGGTGCCTAGAGAGATATCAACTATGCCTCACTGATGCTGCCTTACAAGGCTGAAACGATCGTCTGGGGTTGCTGCATCTCTCGTGCAGAGGGAACTTGCTGGCATTTCGGATCTGGACTGCCTGTATGGGTGGGACGAGTCTGATATGTTTCAGAGATGTTCCCTCTGTAATGGCACAAGATGAGCTACAACCAGCTTCAGAACTTAGCGGGGACCCACCGAAGGGCAGGCTATTTCAGCTGCTGCTTGTTCTCAGTTTTCTCTTGCGCCCCGTTTTTTTGCTCTCCCTAAGTTTAAAGGGTAATCCAGACGTGGACTCTTTGCTCACGGTGCCTAGAGAGATATCAACTATGCCTCACTGATGATGCCTAACAAGGCTGAAACAATTGTCTGGGGTTGCTGTGTCTCTCGTGCAGAGGGAACATGCTGGCATTTCGGATCTGGACTGCCTGTATGGGTGGGACGAGTCTATGTTTCAGAGATGTTCCCTCTGTAATGGCACAAGATGAGCGAACACCAGCTTGAGAACTGAGCGGGGACCCACCGAAGGGCAGGTTATTTCAGCTTATGCCTGTTCTCAGTATTCTCTTGTGCCCCGTTTTTTTGCTCATGTTACTTTGTTTGTTTGATCGAATGGCTAGCTCCAACCGGCCCGAATGCTTACTAAACACACACAAGATATGGTACAGGAATACATACATACTCCAAACAGGGACGTAGAGAAACAATCACCCCACAGGTGAGGGACAACTTAGAGTTAACAAACCGCACCTAAACACCTCCTGAATGGCTGGACAATAGCACCCATGGCAGGCATGGTAGACTTAGGCCAACTCCGACAAACGGCCCATCCCTTGGGAAGGGAATTCCGACTCCCGCTGGGGGGAACACTCTCCGACACCGTGGGCAAGACCATCGCCATGGGCGCAGGCTATATAGGCTTGGCCAAAAAGTTAAAGCCCAGATTAAATTAAACCCAGAAGCCAAGATAACCTCAAAAAACAGACAACACAACCAGAAGTCTGGAACACTAACTGATTAATGGACATAGACCACCAGCCTAGGGGACAGGCGGGTGGCCTCTGCTGAGGCAACCGCTTATACTAGAGATAACCATTAAATCCCTGACAGATAATGTTTAATGTGACAAAAATGTGATAATGTGGGCCGAGTGGCGTATGGCCAATGTAAACTTGTTCCTGAAAAACAATACAAATTGTCAAATTGGAAAAAAAAAGACACTATGGTCACCAAAACAACTACAGCTCATTGCATTTGTTCTGGTGATTAGAATAATTCCCTTCAGGCTTTTGCAGTAAACACTGTCTTTTCAGAGAAAATGCAGAGTTTACATTACAGCCTAGTAAAAACTCCCATGGCCACTCCTCAGATGGCTACTAGAGGTGCTTCCTGACATTCAGTGTCTCCTCCCTCTGCATGGAGACACTGAACTTTCCCCATAGAGATTCATTGATTCAATGTATCTCTACAAGGAGATGCTGATTGGCCAGGGCTCTGCCCCTGATCTGCCTCCTTGACTAGCTCAGCCAATCTAATGCTGTCCATTGGGAAATTGTGATTAGCATTGCGATTAGCTCAGATCACCACTTCTGATGATGTCAGCCAAGCAGGCAAATCAGTCCCAGCAGCAGCAGACTGGAGTAAATGTAAGATTTTACTATATATAGGAGGAGTAGGGGCAGAGGGCTAGATGTGTTTTTAACACTATAAGGTCAGAAATACATGTTTGTGTACCTGACCCTAAATTGTTCCTTTAGTAAATATTTTGACTGGGGTTCCAAGTCAATGTGACTATTACATAAAGATTTTATCTATATGAAATACTCATGTTGAAGACAGAGCTGCTTTAAACAGCATTCAGTTTGCACCTTAACACTTTGCTGACTATCGAATGACTCAAAGCCATCCATCTAATGCTTGAACCAGAATTGGTAAATATGTCCGTCACTGATGTGGGAATTGAGGCAAATGGCATACATTATGGCCTTAGACAAACCAGCATGATGAAAGCGTACTTTGATTAAATTTTCATCAGGGCAGCCAGAGCTGGGACTATCTGTCTGGCTGTGCATCTTCAGTTTAATTCAGAAAAATCTTCAATGGAAAATGCCTCTTTTGAAATTCAGGACTTCTTTTTCCCCAGAGGAGATGCTGGCCGGTATGAGGGAGGTGAGGAAACCTGTATGCAAGACGTCAGTGCTGTAAATCACCAAGTTTATCTAAAATCTTTTCAAGAAAAAGGGGGAAGCATAATTAAAAAAATTTTCCAAACATAAAAAAAGAAATAACATCATATGTAGAATTTACAAACTCTTAAAGTATATCAAGCAGATTTCAAATATATTCCTATTCAGGGAACACTTCTTTTAGAAGTCAGATGGTTTATTGATAAACATCGAAATCAAAAAATTGAAAAGAGGCATTCCAAACATTCTTTTGAACAAGGCAGGATATGTAAGCAACCTGTTTCGAATATTGAAAATGAATTCAATAAATCTAGCATCTTCATTTCACTAGTTGGTTACATACATTTGAAAATGGAAGGAATCCATTCTCACAGATCTTCTGCAATGCAACAACTGGTTAGCAAAGATCTGAACTAAATGAAACTCACTTGACAATATCAATTCATGTGGAATCCAGAGGCTATTTGCTGCACCCCCTATACACACACACACTATATCCCTTATGCACACACACTCTCTGCAGCCCCTAGACACACATATTACACCAGAAACACAACACAACTGAAACTGACCTAGTTACACAAAACACTACACCACAATTGCATGCAAAGTACTCTTTCCTGGCCCTTTTGCCCTCACTTTCCTTCTGTCATTCCCTGGTGGTCCAGTGTGGGCTCCCTGGTAATCCAGGGGGCTACCTAGTGGTCTGGTCGTGATATCCGTTCTCCAGCTGCGCAGTGTGCAGAGCTGCAGACCATGTGTCTCGCGATCTGGTTACCAGATCAATGCTCTGACCAGGTCTCGCAAGATATGGTCTGCAGCTCTGCACACTGTGGAGCTGCAGACCGGATATTACAACCAGACCACCGGGTAGCCCCCTGGATTACCAGAGAGCCCACAGTGGACCACCAGGGAATGACAGAAGGTATGTAGTCCCCCCTCACTCACACCAACAAACACCCCCCTCACTCTCACCATCACCCCCCTCACTCTCACCATCACCCCCTTCCTCTCACCATCACCCCCTCCTTCACACCATCACCCTCTCACTCTCACCATCACCCCCTCCCTCTCACCATCACCCCCTCACTCACACCAACACCCCCCTCCCTCTCACCATCACCCCTCCCTATAAAGAAGTGATGTGTCCAGAAAAACATGGTGGATATGACTATCCTTGGGACTTAGCTCAAGCAGAGAGCTTCCAACCCTTCAACGTTAGTAGAGAGTAGTAGAGAGGCAGACTCCAGGTGATAAGTCAAACCTTTCTAAAATGGTTTGACTACTTACAATGGGGTGGGAGGGTCAGGTAATTCCTCGCACCATAACCACTACAACAAGTTATATAGTTTGATGAGCTTATTAGGTTCCTTTAATGTTCACTAGTGTGAATAAGGGGTTAAAACGGATCCTGAAAAATGACACTGTATCTCACACAAACATTTTACAAGACTAGTTCAATAACGCTATATACTTTTATATCCAGGCAGGTGGATGAATAAAACTTTTATTATTCTCATATCCCCTTTGTGAGTCATACGTGTTACATTTTGTGATAATTATTGCTTTGATTTTTTTGTTTTCTAAGAGGTTCATGTCTAATCCAAACTATTTATTGTACAGCTATATAACAAACTTCCAGTATTCACTAAACTTAACCCTTTAGAACCACTGGCTAGTGTCGCTGAGCATCATGGGAAATATAGTTCGGAAATATCTGGAGTACCAAGGTCATTCAATTTCAGTTTATGGATTTCCTTGTATATAAAACCCTTTCAGATCACTTCAGCAATGAAGGGGTTAGCAGTTCCATTAAATGCCAGTCAGGTCTCAACATGCAGGTATCAATTGGATACTCTCGCCCTATCTCCTTGGTCTCACCCCACCCTGGTCCTCCTGTTTAAGAGGTGGATAGACCTGTTTATATGCTGCAACTCACGGCGGTAGAGAAGACTCTAAGGACAGACAACTGCATCCAACGCTCCTGAAGAAAATGACTCTATCCTTAAAGTGTGTTTTATATGCTTTTATGCTGGGCCTAGGTAAGTACACAGAGATACTTTGTAGAATCTAGAAAATTAATTTAACTTCCAGTGGATATACTCAAATTGCACTTGTCTTGCTGGCAGTTAAATGGAAGTCTGACTATATCTGGCTTTTGAAGGACAATGTAGGGATGAGAGAGCCCACTGTATGGCCCTGATGCCACTGGCAGATGTAATGGGTGCTACATCAGGTGCATTTATGTCTGGCTAGCAAGAGGGGCTGAATGAATGACCACCCCATCAAATGCTTGTAGCCATGTTGTTTATGAATCTGTGTATCACTGTGTGGTTATTTATCTGTGTGGTTGTCTGTATCTCGGTGTAGATATTTGTTTTTGGTCATATATATAAATCTGTGTCTGTGGGAGTAGATGCAGGTATTTAGAAAGAAAAAAGAGCCAGAGTGGAGCAATATGTCACCAGATAACTGTTTAGGTGATATCCCTTACAATTATGTGCAAAAGTGAGGAGATTAAATTAAGTAAAAACAATACTTAAAAATCCAGAAGGTTCTTTCCATACGTGGATCTCTCAAGACGTGAAAGAAAAATACATAAAACAGATAATAGTGCAGATTGTACTGACTTTGTTATGATATATGTATTCCCAACAGGTATACCCAAAATATAGGGTTAAGGAAATACACTTGAATAGTAAATTGGCTCTGATCAGTTAAAAAACATTAAAAAAATACAAAACATTGTAAGAAATGTAGGTATTTGTCATTGTATCTATTTTTGTAAGTTTGTATATCTGTGTTTGTCACAATGTATGTGACAATTTGCTAAAGATAAGTCTGAGATCTGACACAAATTTCAGCCCTGAATTTGGGCTCTGATACCCCCTGCTTGGTTCTAATAATGTCTTTATGTTGCCGCGGGGCGGGTGTAAGTACAATGGGTGCCAGTTCATAAACTTATTAAGAAGTGAGTCTCTTTCTGTACTGAGAACAGAATGGTAGGTGACAGGACATAGCCGAGTTCATGGAGTGATAATCAGGTCCAGTAACAAACTCTGAGGGGCTCAGGTTAAGTTTAAGAAATTGAACCTGTGTTCTTATCCAAATATTTATTTTAATGGACTTCTCATGGTCTATCTGGATCCTCCAAAACTTTACCTGATTTGTTCATTACTCTTATCTTTCTTTTGTTCGCCTTTTCCATATTTTTTTCCTGTGCTTTGTTCCACTTCATACTATTTGGAGCCATTTATCTATTTTTCTTGTTTTTGCTCGCATTTGTTCTTTCTGCATGCCTTTCTAACCATTGTGTGTTTCTTACTTGTTCCCTGGCAGTGTCCCAATGTATTTTTCTTTATATTATTATGTTACTAAAATTCAGCAGCAGGAAATGCATTGCAGAACATCAAACCTGCTAATACCAGATGCTTTTTTTAGTCATTTTTTTTTTTTGCTGTCATTGTATCTGTTCTGGGCTTTACTCTACATTGGCCATATTGCAATTCTTGACTTTAACAATGGACTTCAGTGAATGTATGTTTAAAGGGACACTCCAGGCACCCAGACCACTTCTGCCCATTGGAGTGCTCTGGGTGCCAACTCTCATCCCATCAGTTTTTATAAACTGCAATAATTACCTAGCAGGGTTAAGTCTTTCTCTAGTGGCTGTCTATCAGACAGCCACTAGAGAGACTTACGGGTTCTTAAATGACTTTTTGCTTGCTGAAATGACGCTGGACGTCCTCATGCTATGTATGAAGACCTCCAGCATCACCGGAATCCCGATAGGAAAGCATCAAATACTGCTTTCCAATGGAGAGGTCTAATGCGCGTGTGCAGCCATTGTCGCACATGCGCATTTGGTCTCCCTCGCTGGCAAACGTCAGCGAGGAGGAGCATGGGCAGAGCCTGACCCAGCTCCGAGGGACATGTTCAGCAACATGGGATGGAGGGGCAGGAGGGAGGTGAGCACTGCAAGATTCTCTAGTGCCAGAAAAACTGGAGAGTCCCTTTAAGCTGAGGGTGGTCAATTGAGAAGTTGACAAATACCTTTGTTTAGGTCGAATCCATGTCTTATTTATGTCACATTGAGATATATATATATAGTTTCAAAATAACTAAAAATAACCGAATGAGACCCGAATGTCTATTCTTGTCTGTATAGCTGTTCTTGAACTATATTTCCCATAATTTCATCAGCTGAAGGATCAGTCCTGATCATCTCTAATCTAGAGGTCAGGGAGATGGGTAAATATAAGTTATCATTTACTATAATATTGATAGAGTTCAGAGCTGATAAATACAGCTGATGTAGAAGAGGATCTGTATAGGCATATTGGGGAGCAGTTGAAAGAGGAATGAGATGACAGTTGTGTGGTTTAGAGTAAGGCTTCCACAATCTCAAATATCAAGTAGTCAAATATCAAGTAGTCAACAGATAGGAGAGGCAGAGGGAGCCCGGTAATTAATGTAGATATAATCTATACCTGCCGGAAGAGCTCAGTATTGAAGGTATAGTTTGCATACCTGGGAGCAGTTCCTTCTATTCCTCTTAATTATGTGCTTTCACGCCTCGAGTGTGCCTTGTGTACATTCAACATAGACTTCATGTTGGCCTCCTAGATAATCTACAAAGACCATACAATTACTTTCATGATTGTGATTCAGTTACAGCCTGGAATTTCCACATAAAACCTACATCTGAATTTCGGCACCACGTCATGTCGCCATCTTTGAATTGCTAATAGTTTCCTGGTGATATATCTTGGTGGGTGTTCAGCCACCTGAAGTTAATGTTTAAAAAGTTTAGATCAAATCTTTAATCCTTCCGAGGTTTATACAATAAATGCCATGATTACTTACCATGTGTGAAGCTGACAGACGATTGCTCCTCACTCCATGCGTTCTGATGCTTTGATTCCACCTTATGACACAGCACATGCGCGTCAATTGCGTACTTTCATACGAATTTACGTCATTTCCATTACCCTCTTATGTTTTAGGTGTGTAGTTTTAAAGCAAAAGCGCTCCCAAAATAAATAGAGTATTTTGTGCTTTAGTCAGTGCCCCGTTGTGGTTACTTTATTGGTCCTTATAGTGCGTTGTGAATTATAGTGTTATGCTCGGTTATTGACTCGGCTTGTATTCTGATTATTCTGACCTCTGCAATCCTCGTCTCTTATCCTCCTGTCTTCTGGTTTCCTTGATATTTGTCTTTTCCCTGACCGTTCTATCTCTGCCAACGTTAAGCCTATCCATTCTAAGGTCCGGTAATATGTCCTCTTTTAGTCAGATAGGGATACAGTCTGCAAGTTGGAGTTTGTATTGTGACAATCAGTTTCATTAAGTAGGGTAACAATGACATCTAGACCTCAGGATGTAGTGAAAATTTGTCGGCATCTGTCCTGAAGCTGATGTTGCTCGGTTTTTATCTATGTCAGTATGTATATTTTTTGACATTGCTTCTTTTTTTAATGGGCAATTTAAGCACAAATCATTAGGCATAAATATATATAGACCTATATGACGCATACATGTTTCTCTTTGTTTTTTTTCTTATTCCAGTACATTTTAGTCTTATACATTTGGCCAACCCTGCCAGTAAAGTTGCAGTGCTAGAGGGCAGACAACTCACTTGGTGTACTATTAGCACTTAATTGTTTTAAATGGAAAATATGCACACCCTAATCTAATAATTGATACATGTGATAGTGGATTTGCTTGTTTACCAATAAGGATGCTGGTGGATTGTCACAGGAACAATGGTTCACATAGATCTGTACTGCCAAGGTGCCATGGTTGACCTCATTTTTATTCTGTTCATTTGCAGCCAGCAGCCTGGAGTGTTACCACTTTAAGGGGCCAGTGGACCAGGCTCTAGAAAAACAGGAGGCCAAAGAGTGTGAAATCAACCATCACCACTGCAAGTCTTCACTTCTCACAATCACTGGTAAGCACACTGACCTTCACTCAAACATCTACCTATCGAGCCTATCGACCAGCAGCAACCAAACCCCTACAAAAACAAACATGAACTAGTGTGTAATGGGGTAGTTTAGTATAGTTTTTATATAAAACGGGATTATTATTTTTTAAATACTTCATTAGAATTTTTGTACAAACAAGTACAATTAAAAGAGCACAAGTGGATATTTTTACATATAGAAACAACTTATAACTACACTGTCGGTAAAGTTTAGGTTTACACCATAGAATAGAAGCTAACAATGGATTTTAACTCTTGCTTTATTATCTTCTTCCCGAGAATGCCCCATTGTGCCCAGTCATGGGACAAGTTAGTGTCTCGTCATGGGGCAACTTAATGTTCCATGACCGGGTACTCATGTAGTCCTCCTCATGAGCCTTGGTTAGACACCTCGTCCTAGTATTCACAATACAGTGAAGGATATTCTTGTTAGTTGTATCCAGAAAATGTGCTGAAGATACTAAGCTTATGTGAAAATATTGCAATTGTACAAGAATTTACTTTCTCTCCACCTTCTGGGACTGGGGTATTCTGGAGATACCAATTCGGCACCACGGTTTCTGCTTGGAGCAACAGACAGAATGACATGTGGTGAGGAGCAGTAGCAACATATAACTCAATCACATGAATTAAATATATAATTAGAGTTAATGATAAAGGGTAAACCTTTGGATTGTGGTTACAGGCTATTGATTCGAGTTAAGGGTAGGTTTTTGAATTAAGGATTAGCGTTTATAGATAGAGATTAGTGCTAGGGTTGAGTTTTAACTTAAATTAAGCAAAGCACATTTGTTCTTCTTTGCAAATTAAAAAAGTTACATTTTCTATTAACGAAACTTCTCTGCACTATCATGAGTCAATGCTGCTCCACGCCCACATGGTAAAGTCAATTTGTCCAAGGTCTCTCATTTTTCCGAAGAAGCAATAATGTCACCTTAAACTGGAAAAAAAAACAGCTCATAGTGTGTGGGCCACTTTATTTACTATTTAGAAGGTTTAACTCAGATATTTTCTGGCTTTTAGGTATGCTGAAGGGGAAGGTTCTGGTGAAGGGATGCGCCAAAAAATCGGATGAATATTGCAACAAGACCCATACATTATCCGAGAAAGATATTCAGACCATAGAGACTATTATGTGCTGTGAAGGTGATCTGTGCAACAAGGACCTAGTACCAGGTATGCCATGCAGTCCTGATTTTAATGCCAGCATAAGGAAGGGGCAGATGGCCCCATGTATGAATCTATCGAAGGTCCCTTGACATTCCTCGTAATCACAACAATCCATTACATTCCTTTTGGAGAAGAAGTGTCCACAAGTTTGCTGCTGAGATATCTCAGTAGAACTACAACGCCCATGCATGCATTTAGACTGCCTTTAGAATGACAAAGCATTATGGAAGCTGTAGTTTAAAAACATCTGGAGATCTACCTAGTATTTAGAAAATTGGGCAGACTAGATGGGCCGACTGGTTCTTATCTGCCGTCACATTCTATGTTTCTATGTTTAATTAAAAAAACAAAAAAAGCCCAATCTCTTTGAGAAGCTTTTGATTGGTCCTTGTGACGACTGCCGTGACATCAGATTGTGAGTGGAGGGCAGTGCCGCTTCATTTTAGTTTTTAACTTTATTTAAAGTTTAGGGGGCGTAGCCTCCTGAAGAAAAAGGCCCAATAGGGCTTCATGACATAATAAAAGTCAAAAAAGGGTTGGAGTTACCCTTTAAATGTGAACCTCTATGTTTTATTTATCTGCGTTACTGCTAATAAGCCATCTTCGAAGCTGGTTCAGATATATAAGTATTACAGTTTGCTATTTTGTTTTATTTGTTATTTTTTTTCTTTCCAATTTCTACACAAGACAGGCGTTTTAAGTTACTTTAGCTAGATTCTCCTGGGAAAGTATCAATTATTTCTTATCACAGATCATTATACACTAATTTACGGTATGAGAAAGACTCCAGATGGTGGCCACATCAGTCAAATCTCGTTTTTAATAGGCTGTTTCACCAGGAATGAGAAGATGCCCAAATAGTGTTTGTTTTTATAACCATGAGACATGTAACAACAAAAGTGAAGGTCAATTGATCAAGATGTGGGTGAGGGATTGTATAAAGATGTCTTGTAGAAGATATCTGATTTTAGATGTTTATTTCATCTTCTGAACAGGTTTCAATAAGGCACCTGACTCAAGAACCTGCTCACACATGAGTTCACAGAACCCAAAATTGTGTATTGCTTGTCAATCAACAAACAAACATTCTTTATAAATTTAAAGTGAAATTATGTTATAGCTGAATTGGTATTGTTCCGTCACTTAGAAGTAAATTCTAAATACATTTTGAATTTTAAACCAAAATAGTCAAACTGAGAATGTATCTGACTGTATTTGACTAATTATTCTATTTTTGGCCCGAAATGTAAAAATCAAGACAGTATCTTGCTTCATTGATTAAGGCTTTAGGTCAGGCTGTTTGGAAAGGAATAGAGGAGATGTATTAGCGGTCCTTCAAGATGCTTAGTTTCAACTGAAAAGCAAATGTTTCTCAAATGGTAGTAACAGAATGCAAGCAACAGGATGTATATAAAATAAACACAGACAAGCCATTGTCAGGGAAACACAAATTAGAATAAGGGTTTAGACTAACCAAATAGTTGGTGCAGGTTGCAGACAGGATAATCAGAGAACGCCAGGATCAGAAGCACTGACAACAGAATAATTGATAAAGGACGTTGAATCAATAGTTGTGTACAAACAATAGTAACCCGTTTTTAACGGTATAAAAAAAGAAAGGGTGCTAGATTTGTTGAGCATCTAAAGACCTCTCCCATGTTATCCAATGATTAGTTGAACAAGATGCTAAAAATTTCTCACAAGCACTTGGAAGGCTGTGTGAGACATGGTTATGTCTAGAAAAGGGTCCATATTGAGCACCTCGCGCAGTACTGGTAGACCACCATCAGATACACAAACAATGTGGATAGATAACTTAGTAACACGGGCTTAAGTAACAAAGTCCACCAGATTCAGATTTTCTCGCATTCATGTTGATGTTGTTGATCCAAAGGAAGACAGACAATTTTTTCCACATTCAAACTAATTATTGGTCCCTCGTTTTCGATGCTTGGATGAGATCCAGTAGTGGCCCCTTTGCCCTCTTCTTTTTTTATCTAGCCCTCAAACATATTCTCTTTCTTGTGTCCATTTAATACTGGTATAATCATGGAGGCAGTTAATTTATCATTTAATTTTAAAAGGAGATGTGTACATTTTTATATAAGATAGCTTTCTGTGAATTAATAACATTATATAAACATTTTATATTATCACGTAACAATATCCCAAATGGATGCTTATATCATCTTGCGTTTTCCTGTTGCAGTTTCAGATGCGGAATCTCAGAAATGGGGGGTAGAGTGCCTGGCGTGTAATGGACCCCCTCCGGCTTGTGGTGGTGACGATTTGCCATCTATGCAATGTGACTCTGCTGAGAATCAATGTATCCAAGTCTCCATCACAACAGCCCTCAACCAAGGTTGGTACGCATGGAAATCGTGTGGGTGTTCAATTAAAAAAGACAGGATGTCTCTTTAAATTCACAAAACATTCTGTTTTCTTCAATTCTAGAAAAGAGTAACATGAAGTAACCATATTACGTGCAATCAAAGTAAAATTCTAATTTCTAAGATTTCTTTATGAATAAAATATTGTTTTTATATTAGTAAGGGCAGTTAAGTTGGGTGATTCACTGCCTTATAAGGCTATCTAATTTTATATATATATATCTTTTTAATATGACCAACAGAATTTCATAATGACAGGTTTTTGTCCCTATATCCAGTAAACATACAGTGTGTATAAAATGCATGAAGGGATTGTTTGTAATGTGTATCTGTGACTATATGTAAGATCTGGCTAATTAGTATACACTGGGTATTTGTGGGAGCTGAGACCCTGGTATCAGTCTTTTATTCCATTATTTGCAGAGAGTCAGACCCTGATAAAAGGTTGCACTAACAACTCTGTCTGCCCCAAACTCTGCGCATTCAGCAATGGCCAAAAACCTGTGTCCTACTCGTCCTTCCCGCAGTGCTGCCAGGGCACCCAATGTAACTCCGGATACTTCACAGGTAAAAAACACTGTATAATTCTAAGCACTTCACAGGAAACTTGTCAAAGTATAATTTTGAGTGTTCACAGGAAACAGGACAAGGTGTAACTTGCTGTATTCACAGGTAACAGGACACAGTGTACTTCTGGGTATTCACATGTAACAGTACACAGTGAAACTCTGCATATTTATAGGTAATGGTACACCGTGTAACTCTGTATATTTATAGGTAATGGTACAAAGTGTAACTCTGGATATTTATAGGTAATGGTACACAGTGTAACTCTGGATATTTATAGGTAACGGTACACAGTGTAACTCTGGATATTTATAGGTAATGGTACACCGTGTAACTCTGTATATTTATAGGTAATGGTACAAAGTGTAACTCTGGATATTTATAGGTAATGGTACACCGTGTAACTCTGTATATTTATAGGTAACGGTACACAGTGTAACTCTGGATATTTATAGGTAATGGTACACAGTGTAACTCTGGATATTTATAGGTAATGGTACACAGTGTAACTCTGGATATTTATAGGTAACGGTACTCAGTGTAACTCTGGATATTTATAGGTAATGGTACACAGTGTAACTCTGGATATTTATAGGTAACGGTACACAGTGTAACTCTGGATATTTATAGGTAACGGTACTCAGTGTAACTCTGGATATTTATAGGTAACGGTACACAGTGTAACTCTGGATATTTATAGGTAACGGTACACAGTGTAACTCTGGATATTTATAGGTAACGGTACACAGTGTAACTCTGGATATTTATAGGTAACGGTACACAGTGTAACTCTGGATATTTATAGGTAATGGTACACAGTGTAACTCTGGATATTTATAGGTAATGGTACACAGTGTAACTCTGGATATTTATAGGTAACGGTACACAGTGTAACTCTGGATATTTATAGGTAACGGTACACAGTGTAACTCTGGATATTTATAGGTAACGGTACACAGTGTAACTCTGGATATTTATAGGTAACGGTACACAGTGTAACTCTGGATATTTATAGGTAACGGTACACAGTGTAACTCTGGATATTTATAGGTAATTTTTGGTGTAACTCTGGATATTTATAGGTAGCACAGTGTAACTCTGGATATTTATAGGTAACGGTACACAGTGTAACTCTGGATATTTATAGGTAACGGTACACAGTGTAACTCTGGATATTTATAGGTAACGGTACACAGTGTAACTCTGGATATTTATAGGTAATGGTACACCGTGTAACTCTGGATATTTATAGGTAACGGTACACAGTGTAACTCTGATATTTATAGGTAATGGTACACAGTGTAACTCTGGATATTTATAGGTAACGGTACACAGTGTAACTCTGGATATTTATAGGTAACGGTACACAGTGTAACTCTGGATATTTATAGGTAACGGTACACAGTGTAACTCTGGATATTTATAGGTAACGGTACACTCTGCATATTTATAGGTAATGGTACACCGTGTAACTCTGTATATTTATAGGTAATGGTACAAAGTGTAACTCTGGATATTTATAGGTAATGGTACACAGTGTAACTCTGGATATTTATAGGTAACGGTACACAGTGTAACTCTGGATATTTATAGGTAACGGTACACAGTGTAACTCTGGATATTTATAGGTAACGGTACACAGTGTAACTCTGGATATTTATAGGTAACGGTACACAGTGTAACTCTGGATATTTATAGGTAACGGTACACAGTGTAACTCTGGATATTTATAGGTAATGGTACACAGTGTAACTCTGTATATTTATAGGTAATGGTACACAGTGTAACTCTGGATATTTATAGGTAACGGTACACAGTGTAACTCTGGATATTTATAGGTAATGGTACACAGTGTAACTCTGGATATTTACAGGTAATGGTACACAGTGTAACTCTGGATATTTATAGGTAACGGTACACAGTGTAACTCTGGATATTTATAGGTAACGGTACACAGTGTAACTCTGGATATTTATAGGTAACGGTACACAGTGTAACTCTGGATATTTATAGGTAACGGTACACAGTGTAACTCTGGATATTTATAGGTAACTGTACACAGTGTAACTCTGGATATTTATAGGTAACGGTACACAGTGTAACTCTGGATATTTATAGGTAATGGTACACAGTGTAACTCTGGATATTTATAGGTAACGGTACACAGTGTAACTCTGGATATTTATAGGTAACGGTACACAGTGTAACTCTGGATATTTATAGGTAACTGTACACAGTGTAACTCTGGATATTTATAGGTAACGGTACACAGTGTAACTCTGGATATTTATAGGTAACTGTACACAGTGTAACTCTGGATATATATAGGTAACGGTACAGTGTTGCAGTGTGTTACGTTGGTGTTACGATGATGTTACATTGGTGTTAGGTTGATGTTACATTGGTGTTGCAGTCGGTATTACATTGTTGTTACACTGTTGTTACGTTGGTGTTACGTTGGTGTTGCAGTGTGGGGTTAAGTTGATGTTACATTGGTGTTGCAGTGCGGTGTTACATTGGTGTTACAGTGTGCTATTACGTTGGTGTTACATTGTTGTTACGTTGGTGTTACACTGTTGTTAAGTTGGTGTTACAGTGTGTTGTTACGTTGATGTTACATTGGTGTCACAGTGTGTTGTTATGTTGGTGTTACACTGTTGTTACATTGGTGTTACATTGTTGTTACATTGGTGTTACACTGTTATTACATTGGTGTTACAGTGTGTTGTTACGTTGATGTTACATTGTTGTTACATTGGTGTCACAGTGTGTTGCTATGTTGGTGCTACACTGTTGTTACAATGTGGTTACACTGTTGTTATATTGTTGTTACATTAAATGTTACAGTTTGGTGTTACGTTGGATGTTACACATTGTTGTTACATTGGTGTCACAGTGTGGTGTTACATTGTTGTTATGTTGGATGTTACACATTGTTGTTACATTGGTGTCACAGTGTGGTGTTACATTGTTGTTATGTTGGATGTTACACATTGTTGTTACATTGGTTGTTACATTACTGAGCGCTCACCACTGAATTCTTTGCTGTAGCGATACAAGATTTTGTGAATACAGCACCACTGTAATGTCTGCAATATCACTATTATGGTGCTCATGCGAATCAGAGCAAACACAGAAATAAAATGTCGCTCATTAATAAATGCTTTGCTACATGTCTTCCTCTCAGCAACAGACCCCGGAGCGGAGAATGGGTTGGAGTGTTACAGCCGCTCCTCTCCAGACAGTGCGAGCAGCATGAAGTGCAGAGGAGAGATGACCCAGTGCGTGGATCTGATCGGTATGTGAAGAGTTAATAAAAACACCCCTTACTGCCCTGCTGAGTCTAGTCACTGACTGCCAGGTCTTGAGGTATTAACAGATACAATAAAACAGGCTTAGCACACCCAGAAACTAAGGTGGACATTTATAAAAGTGTCACTAACAGGAAATTGGGGCAGAGTTCTAGAACTTGAGCAATCACCATGGAAACGAATGGTATGTTTCTGCTGACATCATTAGTTTCCATGGTGATTGATCCACATTAATAAAATGCACCCAAATGCATATCAGAGTAATAATATAGAGCAGGTGGATTACCCATATCATGCAATGTGACATAATGACACATGGATGTCCAAACTCTACGCAGTAACTACAAGTCACATAACTCCACACCTCCCAGGTGTCCGTATTTAGGAGTGGCAGTCCCTATTTTGGACCAAAATCCCTCTGTCACTCCTTTCTATCCCTTTTTTCTAGGACCTCCACATCGTTGGTATGTCTGAGTGTATAACAGAGCTCCACAGCAATAATACTCTCAATAATGTGTCTGAGTGTATAACAGAGCTCCACAGCAATAATACCCCCAGTAATGTGTCTGAGTGTATACCAGAGCTCCACAGAAATAATAACCCCAGTAAAGTGTCTGAGTGTATACCAGAGCTCCACAGCAATAATACCCCCAGTAAAGTGTCTGAGTGTATAACAGAGCTCCACAGCAATAATACCCCCAGTAATGTGTCTGAGTGTATAACAGAGCTCCACAGCAATAATACCCCCAGTAATGTGTCTGAGTGTATAACAGAGCTCCACAGCAATAATACCCCCAGTAATGTGTCTGAGTGTATAATAGAGCCCTACAGCAATAATACTCTCAATAATGTGTCTGAGTGTATAACAGAGCTCCACAGCACTAATACTCCCAGTAATGTATCTGAGTGTATAACAGATCTCCACAGCAATAATACTCCCAGTAATGTGTCTGAGTGGATAACAGAGCTCCATAGCACTAATACTCCCAGTAATGTATCTGAGTGTATAACAGAGCTCCACAGCAATAATACTCCCAGTAATGTGTCTGAGTGTATAAGAGAGCTCCATAGCAATAATACTCCCAGTAAAGTATCTGAGTGTATAACAGAGCTCCACAGCAATAATACTCCCAGTAATGTGTCTGAGTGTATAACAGAGCTCCACAGCAATAATACTCCCAGTAATGTGTCTGAGTGTATAACAGAGCCCCACAGCAATTATACTCCCAGTAATGTGTCTGAGTGTATAACAGAGCCCCGCAGCAATAATACTCCCAGTAATGTGTCTGAGTGTATAACAGAGCCCCGCAGCAATAATACTCCCAGTAATGTGTCTGAGTGTATAACAGAGCCCCACAGCAATAATACTCTCAATAATGTGTCTGAGTGTATAACAGAGCTCCACAGCAATAATACTCCCAGTAATGTGTCTGAGTGTATAACAGAGCTCCACAGCAATAATACTCCCAGTAATGTGTCTGAGTGTATAACAGAGCTCCACAGCAATAATACTCCCAATAATGTGTCTGAGTGTATAACAGAGCTCCACAGCAATAATACTCCCAGTAATGTGTCTGAGTGTATAACAGAGCTCCACAGCAATAATACTCCCAGTAATGTGTCTGAGTGTATAACAGAGCTCCACAGCAATAATACTCCCAGTAATGTGTCTGAGTGTATAACAGAGCTCCACAGCAATAATACTCCCAGCAATGTGTCTGACTGTATAACAGAGCTCCACAGCAATAATACTCCCAGTAATGTGTCTGAGTGTATAACAGAGCCCACAGCAATAATACTCCCAGTAATGTGTCTGAGTGTATAACAGAGCTCCACAGCAATAATACTCCCAGTAATGTCTGAGTGTATAACAGAGCTCCACAGCAATAATACTCCAGTAATGTGTCTGAGTGTATAACAGAGCCCCACAGTAATAATACTCCCAGTAATGTGTCTGAGTGTATAATAGAGCCCCACAGCAATAATACTCCCAGTAATGTGTCTGAGTGTATAACAGAGCTCCACAGCAATAATACTCCCAGCAATGTGTCTGAGTGTATAACAGAGCTCCACAGCAATAAGACTCCCAGTAATGTGTCTGAGTGTATAACAGAGCTCCACAGCAATAATACTCCCAGTAATGTGTCTGAGTGTATAACAGAGCTCCACAGTAATAATACTCCCAGTAATGTATCTGAGTGTATAACAGAGCCCCCACAGCAATAATACTCCCAGTAATGTGTCTGAGTGTATAACAGAGCTCCACGGCAATAATACTCCCAGTAATGTGTCTGAGTGTATAACAGAGCTCCACAGTAATAATACTCCCAGTAATGTGTCTGAGTGTATAACAGAGCTCCACAGCAATAATACTCCCAGTAATGTGTCCGAGTGTATAACAGAGCTCCACAGCAATAATACTCCCAGTAATGTGTCTGAGTGTATAACAGAGCTCCACAGCAATAATACTCCCAGTAATGTGTCTGAGTGTATAACAGAGCTCCACAGCAATAATACTCCCAGTAATGTGTCTGAGTGTATAACAGAGCTCCACAGCACTAATACTCCCAGTAATGTGTCTGAGTGTATAACAGAGCTCCACAGCAATAATACTCCCAGTAATGTGTCTGACTGTATAACAGAGCTCCACAGCAATAATACTCCCAGTAATGTGTCTGAGTGTATAACAGAGCTCCACAGCAATAATACTCCCAGTAATGTGTCTGAGTGTATAACAGAGCTCCACAGCAATAATACTCCCAGTAATGTGTCTGAGTGTATAACAGAGCTCCACAGCAATAATACTCCCAGTAATGTGTCTGAGTGTATAACAGAGCCCCACAGTAATAATACTCCCAGTAATGTGTCTGAGTGTATAACAGAGCCCTGCAGCGATAATACTCCCAGTAATGTATCTGAGTGTATAACAGAGCCCCGCAGCAATAATACTCCCAGCAATGTGTCTGACTGTATAACAGAGCTCCACAGCAATAATACTCCCAGTAATGTATCTGAGTGTATGACAGAGCCGCGCAGCAATAATACCCCCAGTAATGTGTCTGAGTGTATAACAGAGCTCCACAGCAATAATACTCCCAGTAATGTATCTGAGTGTATAACAGAGCCCCGCAGCAATAATACCCCCAGTAATGTGTCTGAGTGTATAACAGAGCCCCACAGCAATAATACTCCCAGTAATATGTCTGAGTGTATAACAGAGCTCCACAGCAATAATACTCACAGTAATGTGTCTGAGTGTATAACAGAGCTCCTCAGCAATAATACTCCCAGTAATGTGTCTGAGTGTATAACAGAGCTCCACAGCGATAATACTCCCAGTAATGTGTCTGAGTGTATAACAGAGCTCCACAGCAATAATACTCCCAGTAATGTGTCTGAGTGTATAACAGAGCTCCACAGCAATAATACTCCCAGTAATATGTCTGAGTGTATAACAGAGCTCCACAGCAATAATACTCCCAGTAATGTGTCTGAGTGTATAACAGAGCTCCACAGCAATAATACTCCCAGTAATGTGTCTGAGTGTATAACAGAGCTCCACAACAATAATACTCCCAGTAATGTGTCTGAGTGTATAACAGAGCTCCACAGCAATAATACTCCCAGTAATGTGTCTGAGTGTATAACAGAGCTCCACAGCAATAATACTCCCAGTAATGTGTCTGAGTGTATAACAGAGCTCCACAGCAATAATACTCCCAGTAATGTGTCTGAGTGTATAACAGAGCTCCACAGCAATAATACTCCCAGTAATGTGTCTGAGTGTATAACAGAGCTCCACAGCAATAATACTCCCAGTAATGTGTCTGAGTGTATAACAGAGCTCCACAGCAATAATACTCCCAGTAATGTGTCTGAGTGTATAACAGAGCTCCACAGCAATAATACTCCCAGTAATGTGTCTGAGTGTATAACAGAGCTCCACAGCAATAATACTCCCAGTAATGTGTCTGAGTGTATAACAGAGCTCCACAGCAATAATACTCCCAGTAATGTGTCTGAGTGTATAACAGAGCTCCACAGCAATAATACTCCCAGTAATGTGTCTGAGTGTATAACAGAGCTCCACAGCAATAATACTCCCAGTAATATGTCTGAGTGTATAACAGAGCTCCACAGCAATAATACTCCCAGTAATGTGTCTGAGTGTATAACAGAGCTCCACAGCAATAATACTCCCAGTAATGTGTCTGAGTGTATAACAGAGCTCCACAACAATAATACTCCCAGTAATGTGTCTGAGTGTATAACAGAGCCCCGCAGCGATAATACTCCCAGTAATGTGTCTGAGTGTATAACAGAGCCCTGCAGCGATAATACTCCCAGTAATGTGTCTGAGTGTATAACAGAGCTCCACAGTAATAATACTCCCAGTAATGTGTCTGAGTGTATAACAGAGCCCCGCAGCAATAATACTCCCAGTAATGTGTCTGAGTGTATAACAGAGCTCCTCAGCAATAATACTCCCAGTAATGTGTCTGAGTGTATAACAGAGCCCCGCAGCGATAATACTCCCAGTAATGTGTCTTTAAACTAGAATGCACGTGTTTAGAAACCAGTCTGTGTAAATATGATACATTGTTCTTGTTCTAAAGTACATTTTAATTGCATAACATTTTATTATTAGGTCATCAAAAACCTCTCAGAACAGCCTCACCCTGATCACACCCCCAGTCACAACCCTAAAATGAAATGATTCCACTCTGTTTGATATGTTCGTAGGTGGGCAGCCCAGACCAACTGATGTGGGAGAGCCCCCTGGAAGTCTCTTTATCATTCACCCTTTATGTATGATCAAGCTAAACCATAATGGTGGCAGCAATGCATAGCAGTGCAGTGTATATTGCAGATAGACGTGTGTGATTATAATGGAATGCTCCACTATATACTATAACAGACTGTAAGCTCGTTAGACTAACCATTGAGATCTAGAAAGAGATTCAAATTATGATCACAGTTCAGCTCATCATTTCTGCTCTAAAGTGCAAGTAGTTCACCTAGGTTAACAGATCCATCATTACTTGTTTGTTTCTCCCACTTCTCCCTATTTATTAATGTTAGTGGCGAAAACAGGCATTGTTTTAACATAGGTCTCTTGGAGAAGTGCTCCACTTTCCACTTAGAACTGTTGGATCTCAAGGTGTTGCCGAACTGTCTGATTTACCCTTCTTCTCTCCAGGTGACTCGAACGACAATGTTGTGATGAGTGGATGTGCGACAGAGACATTCTGCCAAGGCTTGTACCCAAGATTTAAGATTCCAGGATGGTCACGGACAGTGTGCTGTGCCAAATCACTGTGTAACCATGGCAATAACACAGCTCACCACATATAATTGACACAGAACTTGATCAGGTAGTGGCACAACTGTGTTGCGGTTGGACCTGACATTCTCAGACAAATGTTCCTAAGATGTGGAAGCACTTAAAAGAAAATACTTATTTTTATTCTTGCATTTTTATTTTTTATTTCTATGGTTTTTTTTTTCTCTCAAAATTTCCAAAAAACGTGCAATTCATATTGAAAGATTCTGGGCAAAATGTAAATAAAAATACAATTTCTAACACCAAACACGAGTCGCTTAGTTTCATTTCAGTTTATGTACTACTGAGATGTAATGTAGAATCAGGACTGTGAAATCCAGTGCCAGGAAAAAATCTCAAATATTGCAATGTGATGACTTTTCTTTCCTTCAGGTTTTTTTCCCCTTGAAATTGAATGCAGAAGAAATCTCCATTACCCAGTACCTAATTTTAGTTCATGTTTCAATTTTTTGAAGTAGTTGCCTCATTGGAAGTAGTTGTCTGTAGCACTGGCCAAGGTGGGTCTCTCCCTCCTCACAACTCTCGTATTTTGCACCAAGCCATTCTTTGAATTACTCTCCTTCCCTTCAACCAAGGCCCATTCAGACAGCTTCAGACATTTTTCTTTCCTGGACTGGCAGTAAGAGAAAATCCGCCAGAATCTGCCTTAATTTTCAGAATTCATTATCTTGTGTCTACATTTTGGAATTGTATCATAGAGGAGATTAGAGGTGAGCAGTTGATAAACTAAACTGAAGAGCACATTCTTCTGGAATATAACCACATCCCTAGTTAGAAACCCTTAAATATGAGTGTGATGGAGCCCCAGCACTCTGACAGAGTACCTCTGTCAAGTCTGCTTCCTCGTAGCTGTCAGGGAACACTTCAGACCCAGTTGCCGAGGCTTGACTGGGATCCGTGAGGGCCTTGTGCTTCCCTGGATCAGGCTACTAGAATTATGTTCCTGGACACCCTTTTCATCAGCAGAGCAGTAATCAGAGCTCTTTTCCCAAACACCAGATGACACCTGGGGAAGGTTAAACCAACAACTAACTTTAAAATACATAGCACACCTATTTATGCCCCCAACAGCCTCATTTTATTTATTTATAAAATATTTTACCAGGAAAGATACATTGAGATTTCTCTCGTTTTCAAGTATGTCCTGGGTCCACAAATCATTGCATTGCATTTACATACAATAGGGTTAATAGAGCACTATAGTACATGGAAGGGTGGGGCCAGACAATAGCAACTGCTAAGAACCAAATGGGAGATTGAGGAGGGACATGGGAGCTAGTTTAAACTGGTCTGGCAGTGTCCCTGGGACAATGGGACAACGCCCTGCTGGGGAAACAATAGAACAGGGAAAAGGAGGAGGGGGAAAGGCACAGACAATCAATACGTTCAACATACCCTGCCCCAATACAGTGCACAGGGTGCCAAAACACAAGAGGAACCTGGGGACCCACACATAGTGTCTGTTTTCCATCCCCAGTGATGGTGACTACCGTCATAATGAGCTCATATAATATGGTCAAGTGATATCTCTGCCTGACATGTCTCTAGGGTTTAACATAGATTCCAAGAGGATTCCTGATACTTAAAACTTCATGGCCAGATCTCTGTCTTTTATTTTGTTTCAGGACCAGAAAGATCCATAAGAAGGTCCCTACCAACTGAACGGTGTCTACCACTAGAGTAGGCAACGTGTATGTACTGCCATGTAGGGTATAGATCATCGCCATTATCTAACCCTTCTTGTGCTGTGGTGCAGAAACTTTACCGAGTATAATAGAGTAACACCACCAGTTTGAAGAACCTAGTTGTGGAAAGGGGAAATAGAAGTAGCACCATTAAATTCCAGATCTTCCTGGTTAGCTATCATTTAGACCCATGCACAGACTTTATGAGACAAATCTTCTGGTACCCTATGGCTATATCGCATTTTTAGATCTCAAAAACTCTTAGTGTCTCTCATTATTGTTACGTGGGTGATATTTTCGCTTCCATCTCTAAACCTCAGCATGAACTCTATCATCTAACCTATAATGCATTGTTACCTCGTGAGATCTAAACTACATTTTCAAAAGCTCACCATGGTTATTGCTTAGCAACAGATAAGTCATTGGGTTCCGAAAGAAAAACAGAGTTAGGGAAACATTTCACTTATCACTTCAACACTGATGTAAACACAACCCCTTTCCCGTACATTAGTCAGTCCTCTTACACAGGGGATTACTGAATACCATTTAATTTCCAACTCGCAGGTTCTTCATTAAAGAATTTATACTTTAAAGCAAAACTATCACTTCTCTGTAAATTATACACTGAAAATACACTCAAATGTATATTAAAGGTTTAGCAATTGACATCATAATACAGTTTAGTCAAGGCACAGCCAGGGCACACAATGCAAATGAGAAGAAACAGAAACATTGTTTAGGTTTCTCCAACATTTTTTTTTAAAGATTATTGACAGGGAGGCAAGATGGAGGCACCCAATTTCACCATAGCATAAGCGGATTTCTACATTTAAATGTATTTTTCAGAACTACATTAAGAAAAATAAAATCAGAATACTAAAAATCCTGGGACAAGGCAGTTCAACTTTAAAGTGTGATTTCAGAAATTGAATTTAGAATTTGCAATAATTTTGTCAAAATACTCTTGTGCAACATGCAATATAAACGCAAGGGGAATCAATACACGCGTGTGGGAGTTTTGTATTTTTACGCAAAGAGCAATAAGTACCTAAAAGCAAGTGTTCTGGAAGATCCTGCATGTGCAAATATATCAATAGCATCCAGTGCTGGAGCTGCCCTTGGTCCTAAATATTTTAAATGTGCCTCCCCCCACCCGTTTTATGTCTGCTATACACAATTGTGCTACTTACAAAGCTCTAACACTAGATGGTGCTGTTACAAAGCAAAGAACTAGTATATAAGCACAGGCTTATTTACTAAAGAATTGGTCACAAAATCCCAAATTTTAGGCATTAAGGGTGATAGCGAAATAGGAAAATGTTTCCAGTTTGGTTATTTTGGCAAATAATTTTCCATTCCACTGTTAATTTGCAGCTTAGTGAATAACCATGGTAAATACACCTCAGTAAATCTATCAAATTTTTGTTTAAAAAAAAAAAAAAATATTTAGTAATTTTCAAAATGGGCTGATCTTATGTAAGAAATTAGACATACGTACATGTCATCTTGAGCATGCCGTCTAGTAATATCAAAGCAATGCAGATGCCAGGGTTGATATCCTTAAATATTTCTGACTCAAAGTATTCTAACTAAATCAATAACTATAACAGACTGTACAGAAACAGCTTTCAATCACAGCGAGTGAATATATTATCTCCCAGAGCCCTCCAGTGGTTATATTGTGTCACTACAAGCAGATACAACAAAACAAATATTATGACCCAAATTCTTCAAATTAGGACAGGCGGGGAGAGGTGAAGCCTCTATTTCCCTTAGGACATATAATTGAATTACTAGTCTCATGACACATTTTATCGTTATTACTTCTTCAGGTGTGGCTGGTTAAAGCAGATTTTTACTTTAGTTCTATTTATAATTTACTGAATTGTCATTTAATTTACTGGCACATTCTGTTTAGGTGTTTGCGAATTTATAGCATACATTTCTGTATCGCGTTAGTGAAGTTGCATGCAAACAAATGAAAAAAGGGTTAAATGTCTTGGTCCCACCTATTGTCAGGAATGTTTTACCCAACACGCGGAACTTAAGTGTACAAACAAATGTAAAAATAAAACTGAATATAAAATGTATTACTGGGCCTTAGGGCGGTCGGATTTAACGTTACATAAAATAATACAAGACAGTCCGAGTTCAGGGAAACAGAAATTACGTAAATTGAGACGACAAGTCAAGGCTCAGGGATATACAACGGAGAATAGTTAATAATATATATATAAAAAAAGAAGATATCGAAAAAAACAATACAACCCGACCCCTGGACTTGCCTACTAGCCAAACCGATTGACAACCTTCCTAATAGAGAGCAAAAACTTGTAAATAATATTAACCTGGCAGCTAGACGCGCCCTGTCGCAGACATGGCTCCTAGTAGACACTCCACACATAGACGGAGTAATAGGCAACATTAAAGAAGCCTTTCTCATGGACAAACTCACGGCACAGGTACGAGACACATACACACACTTTCTCAATTTATGGGAACCGTGGGAAGACTATATTGACTCCTGAGCCCGAACGCCATGCCCCCTCAGGGGGATAGCAGCTACCCCTCTTCAGCAGACTCCTGCCTCCTCCCGACAGCGGGTCCTACATCTCCCCCTCCCTTTCTCCGCACCCCTCTACCCCCATCCGTACCACTACTCTATTTCTAAACACCACTGTACCGCCCTATGTAGCAATAGACATCCTCAACTTAACTACCCCTAAGGTTTCAGGGTAAACTCAGATAGCACGCTTAAGGCGCGTAAGCACATGCACGTGCTACGCATGGAGAATGCGGGCCAATGACACGAACACAACCAGTGAACAAGGCCCTCTACCACTAACAACATCACACACTGGGAAGATTTCCTTATTCTCTGTCTCTTTATTTGCTTGGTTTTATTGTTTTTATGACGTTATAGAATGGAAAAGTGACAGTACATGATATTGCAGATAGCGCACGAACCGAAACAGTAATACCATGCTAACATTGGCTTCTGCGTAAGCCGTAACAATGTAAACACGAAATATTGTATTGAATATGCAAATGATGGCTTCTGCGCAAGCCCTCACAATGTCACAACAATTGCATAATACTATCTGTTACGACCAAAATAAATATAAAAAAAAAAAAAAGAAGAGATCAGTAGAGAACAAGAAACAGCAATAGGAAACGCATTTTGGGGATAACAAATACGGGAAACCATGATATGGCACTGAGAAATATCCAAAATGAGCTTATATAGCTCTTAGAGGGCAATAATTGATTATTGGCGTGATGCTGGAACATGCGTGCACAATGTGTACGTGATAACGCACGCAAGTTTGTGTCAGTAACCGAGAGACGGAGAAGGCAGAGAGACATATGAGATCTCCAATTCACAGCAGCCGGCATCAGAATTACTTCCGAAGGAAAGCATGACCACACAGGATGGGAGCGAGAGTGGCACTACTGGTAGGTGAACGTAGAACGCACCGCACCGAAGTGCGTCCAGCTTGCCTCGTGACACATTGGTTGGCAGTGAATTTGTATTGTAAAAGTTGTCTAGACCAATAA